GGTTATTCAAAAATAAATTCAAACTCATTTTGGAATAAATGTCACTCTGCTAGATTAAATTTGATTAATTCTAAATAAAATAATCAAAGTAGTTTAAAATATCCATTCTTAATATTTGTGTGCATTATATAAGAGGGAAATTCAAAACTTTTTCATTTTCTTATGAATTTTGAATTTCTGTAAATCTATTAAAGAATGTAAGATAAAAATTTTTCAAAGTTAATAAAAATCTAATCCTTAAGAATATAATGTCTATTGCTTATCTACTAGACTTAAATAACCCTTAGGGGATTGAAATTTATTATCAGATTTATTTCATTTCAGATAACGGTCTAAAAAAAGCCGTGATCTCTATCATATAAAAATTTATTTTTATTTGATTTATAAATAAAAAATATTTACAAATACAAGAATAAATATTAAATTGAATTTCATATTGCATTTGATTTGATTTTACATTAATAAATATGGAAAAAAATTATTTAATTCTATTTTCTTTCAAATATCTAATTTATTTTAATAAATGGGATAGAGTGCTAATGTCATCTATTGTAAACTGATAATCTGCTTGAAAATTATTCAGAATAGATTAATTCCAAGTACTTTGGTCCTCGTTATGCCTCTTAGTATGCAATAAAAACAAAATTCATAACCAAGTTTAAAGCTCGCAATAACAAAGTTAAAGGATAACCAAAGGTTCTCAAACAGCCTCTACAAAACTATACAAATTAAGAAGTAGCTTTAAATTCAATAGAAAAAAATGACAAATTTTTTATAAATAAGAATTTAATTCTTGATTATTAATTTAATTTAGATTCTAACAACAATGCGAATTCATCATAAAATAATTCAATAAATGCTCGTCAAAGCATATTAAAAAAAAGGATAAAGAAGCATCTAAGGCCCAAAAAAGCGTGAGGTTTATAAATACTGATTTAAAAAAATAATTTAGTATGACTCAACAAAAATAATTAGGGTAATTGTTAAAGAGAAAACATAATTGATATTATTTTTGTTCTTCTAATACTCATTATGACTAATATTTATACAATTTTTATTCATGTAAAAAAGAGGAATTGCTATTAATAATTTTAAAAATAATAACGAGAATAAATTGCTTAATAAATTTCACATCAATTCAATTTTAAAATACATCAACGTCTTAAAAATAAATTTCTGACATTGAGGGCAAGGTGGTTAGATTAAGGAAAATTATTTCACAATTAAGTATAGAAGATGGAAAAAATAGAGAACATCCTAATTAACTAAATAACAACGATCATAATATTCTCAATATAGTTTTTATGAAGAATTAGAAATTATGCTATTGAACAAAAATAAAACTGATTGCAAATAATAAATATTAATACATGAAATTCAGAAAACAAATCTCTGTTGAACTTCAAAATTGAATATTTTCCAAATTATTTATGAGGAGGTGAGATTGATGGTATAAAAAAATTGAAATGAATTTAAATTGCTAATTATAGGTTCAAAATTTGTGTAATATTAATAAGGTAAAAATTTCAAGAGAACCAATCTCCGAATTTACCTGTAAAAATTGAGTATTACTTGTTATTTGAGAATTAGAGCAAGTCTTTTCTTATATATCTCAATTAAATTCAAAACTCTAAAGAATTCTTGCGCTATCGGATAAAGGATTAGTAATAGAATAAACATTACTAGCAACAAAATCTTAACTATGAGATAAGACTTATAATTCTCAGATAAAATTTATTATACCATTATATTTTTTAAATATTTTATATTATGGTTGTATATTCTTCAATTTAATTTTTCTTCTTAAAAATTACCAATTGGTTTTCCGTTCTAATAATGGCCTTTTTTGATATAAGAATTTTATCTACTGAAAGTTAAAAAAATTTACTTATCGAATGCATCAATTATGTCTATCCAATTTCCATCTTTTCGTCCTTATTCATTATAATTACCTCCACCACTTTATAGATATAGATAGACTATAAATATAATAAATACATAATTCTAAATTCTTGATCTTAATAAGATTTATAACGTATTTCCCACTTTCCCTTCCTATTATCGTTATGATATTCTCCAATATAAATTACATAACACCATCTTAATTTTATAAAGTTATTATCAATACATTTGGAAATTCTCATGCAAATCAATCCATATTCCATCTTTTTTCCCATCTTCGTTGTAAAATCCGCCTCCACTTAATTGATTATATTAAAAAATCTAACATTTTAAAAAATTCATTCTCTTCATATTCTCTATACATAGTTTCCCATTTTCCTTTTCTTCTTCCATTTTTGTATTCTCCTGTGTATAAGAATTACAAATCACTAGATTAATATTAAATAATAATTAATACTTCCAAAAATCTTCTTCTATATCTATCCATATCCCTGTTTTCAATCCATTCTCATAATAACCTCCGATATTTAAATCTTAATTTTTCCAATAAGCTATCCATTTTCCTATTTTTTCTTTATTTTTTCCATATTATCCTTCCCACCTTAAATGTTTTATCTAAACAAGATTTTTCATAATTTCTGGTTTAATTTCTTTATCTAGTACTTGATCTCTAAATTAATAATAAAACCAACATTCTTAATATCTCTCCTTCATAAATATATTTCACTTCCTAATTTTTTGTTAATTAAATAAAAAAAGACATCTTTTAGGGTAACCACATATATTCATTAAAATATTATTGAATCCCGTCTATTACATATGTTCCTTCCTGCCACTTCCAAATTGGATTATCAATCTAAAATTTTGGACAGTTACTATAATTCATTATAATTATAATATTTAGAAGGCTAACTAAGTCGAATTTATAAATAATATTTATTTAAATATCAACAAAATTCTAGAATTCTTAAATTACAATCAAAATTAGAGATATAAAGT